CAAATAATAAAGATCTCATGGAATTTTTTTTCTTTAAGCTGAGCTTATTTACATGGCACTGGGTGATTCCAGTGAATTTCTCCAAGAAAGAAAGGTCAAAGTTTTGAAAGTCATAGGAAAAGGGACACGTCATGGTCCTGCTTATTCAGAATTGGAAATCGGTACTTTGGATAAAAGAGGATGATTTCATAGATCTGTGTGAGCCTGGTTAAAAGAAGTCCCCTCCTTCCGTGGTCAGTGAAGAGTCTTCAGTCAGGGGCTAGATGGGCCTGGTGTCCTGGGTCCCTGCAAATTCTTGGTCACTGGTCATCATCAGCTGATTAGAGCCACCGTGAGGAACAGTGGCTTAACAAATACAGTGTTAAGCTGTGACATTTCCTAGGCACGTGCTGCTGGAAAGGGGTGAATGTTCCTCCTGTACTGTTGGAAAATGAGGAAAATCTGGCAAAGAAAAGAGGACCTGCCACTGAAGTGGTGACCAAGCCACGGGGAATTCAGGAAGCAGGGAGTGATCACAGGGACAAACGCTGTGAGAGGGTCGGTAGGACGAGGGCCAAGCCTTGTCCATTGTAGGTTCCTATTTGACCTTGGCTGGAGTAGTGGAAGCACTCTTGATGTTACTGGATTTAGGAAGAAAGTGGGGACGGGAGCAGGACAATTCCTCTAAGAGACTTAGCTGTGAAGGAGAGTAGGGGTCAGAGGCTGAAGAAGAGTGAGGAGGGCAAGGGAGTCTTGTATTTGTTATTTCAAGATGGTGTCTATGCCATTGACTCAGCATAGAGGGAAAATGGTTGATGGGGGAAGGGGGGGGGCAACTGTAGCAGCAGATTCCCCAGAAGGGATGAGACTCGCACACAAGTGGAGAGGCGGGTGCCACTTTAGAGTGTAGACAGCTTATCCTTTATAACAGGAGAAAAGGTGCTGACGTGTAGTGGGCAAACTGCTTCTCTTTGTGGAAAAAGAAATAAAGGCGTTCACTGAGAATGTGGAGGAATGCGGGGAACTGGAGGTTTGAGGAGTTTGGAGAAAGTTTGAAATAGCTATGCTGGGAAGAGGGAAGATCATTTGAGTAGGTCAGGGAATGCAGCAGGCTTCCTGGGCAGTCCCGAGGGCCTGCAGGTTTCTGGTCGTGGATTTCTGGTTCACATGGATGTGTGCGCCCCCTCCTCTCCTCGCCTCTCCACATCGACTGCCCGGGACAAGTGTGAAGCAGGGAGAGGTGGAGGGGTTGGTACCCGGGGAGCACAGAGGAGTATCAGGAGCTTGGGGGATTCATTCTGCTTTGATACCCAGTGGTGCCCAGAAAGGGTTCAGGAAATCACCAGAAAAACAAACCAAAATGATCTTATCAATAACTAAAGAATGATGCCCAGGGCCCAGGTGTATTTCTTTACTTTTTCTCCTCTGGCCAACACTGGTCTGGCTACTTATCTCCCCCTCCTTCCCTTCTCTCTTCATCCCCAGGGTCCCACATTTTCTGTATTTGAGCCAGTAGATCCTAGTTCACACCTTCACTCCTGAATCTACTCTGGGTCCTCACATTTTCCAAGTGGAGCACCCAAAGCCCCAGCTCTCTCTGGCTTCAGTGAATTGCTTCTGATGTCATGGTTTCTCTCTGGGCTGGAAAACCCCCTCCCAAGATGGGCAGAGGTAAGGAGTGTGAAGGGAACAGATAGCCTCTTGACCCTGCACTTGTTAAATGCAAACGTGCTTTCTTCCTTGTATTCTCAATTGAAGCATCTTCTGTGGACTTTGACTAGGACTCACCTCTGTCCCAGCGCTTTTGATTTTGGCAAACAGCTTCTTTCACATGGGCCATGTTTTTCTTGGTCTTCATTCTTTTTGGTGGGGGAGATCCATCCTTTCTTCTGACCCTCCATTAGCTCCCACAGCCTCACCCAACTAATCACTCTGTCACCCTCCTCTGGAGGGCAAATGGGAGACACTGCAAGCCCAGCTGCTGGCAGAAATTCTAAGAGTTCCTGTAAGTTCAGGAAAAAAACTTCCTGCATTCTTTCCAGTATTCAGCCCTGAGGGTGCCCGCAGTTTATTAGCATTTGGGGATATAAAATGCTTCCAGTGTATACCTTTAGGGATGGCCCACGTCAAGGTCTGTGTCTCTTGCTGGGTCATGACTCAGTCCTCTGAGCCTTTCTTTTGGGACACTTTCAGGCATGATTTTTATCCTGGAATAGAATATAGCTGGTCCTTGTCCATATAAAAAGTCATCTGCCATTCTGTGCCCACGCATAGACTCCAAAGTGATTCCTGAAGTCCAACCACCAGGTTCTTCACATCCAGGAAGAAGTTAACATCATTCCCAACCTGAATGGTTCAGAAAAATGACATCACTAGGAAGGAAGGGACTAGAGCCTGGGCTTGATCTCCCCGTCACTTCAAAACTACTTAAAATTTGATCTCAGCTGATGACTCAGACCTAGAGGTGCCAATTTTTGTGCACATGGGAGTCCCTTGCAGGGGGCTGATTGTTAGAGTCTCCCCAGACTCTGACAGGGCTGCCCTGTGCTGGAGCTCCCTGGTGACCACTGACCTCAGCCACTGCAGGCTGCAGCCACCTCAGCCACCTCAACCTGCACCAGCTTGTGGGGGCCCATGTCGGCGGTGGATAAAGCTTGGGCTTTAGCATCAGGCCGATCTCATCTGTGGGTCTCTGATCTCCTGCCTCCTGCAGGCTGTGGGCCACAGGTAACATAGCTAACCTCTGATTGCCCCGTTTACCTCAGCCACAAACTGAGGACAAGTAATACTTATTACAAAGGTATTGTAACACATTTAAAGCATGTGACACAATGCCTGGTCCATATGTGCTCAATACACATGGTATTAATTGTTCAAAAGCCTAATAAATTTAACCCGGCCCAAAGTGGACCTATGTGACATTGAGTTCACCTATCTAAGCCCCATTTTCCATCTGCAAAATAGCCCTGACATGAGGGTCCTGAGATGGCTTCTCCCCGAGATGGCTTCTCCCCGAGATGGCTTCTCCCCGAGATGGCTTCCCTCTGAGATGGCTTCTCCCTGAGATGGCTTCC